ATGGTATTTTTTTTATAATAGAACTTTTCAATATTTTGTTATCTTTTATAATTCCATGCATAATATAATTTATTAACACATTTATTTTTTCAAAATAATATAAAATTCTATACACGTGCCAATTAAAACGTATTTTACTTATTTTAGAGACTTAAGGTGTCATGTCTTCAATGGTACCTATAAAGAAAGTATTAGTATTATAGAAGTATTGAAATACGTTTTATGTAAAGAATTATTTTAGAAAAATAAGTATGTATCTTTGTTTAGAAAATTTCATTTTAATTTAAAAAAAATATTCACAAGCTTTATTTTATTATGACTCTTTTTAGAAAATTTCTAAAATTATCTTGATTTTTTTGGACAAAATTGAATACGCGTTTATTATAATAGCATTATATTTCTTCTGAGGCAAACTTATTGTTCGCTTCCTTTGTGTTTTCAATTAAAATGACTGCCAAGAAATCTGTATTCTTTATTTTAAAAGGCATAAAAAACATGAATGACTGTTCAGTACGAATGTGATAGAGCTAAAGAATATAGAACGTCAGTCTTGACTCCACTCGCGCTGCGCGAGCGCCGCGAGCGTGTTTTAATATTCAGAGAACGTAAATCGCATATTAATTATTAAGCGTGTACAGTGACTGTTGGGGAGGAAACATAAATTAACTATAAATTTTGTAAAATTACAAGCTCGATTTATGTATGAAAATAGTTAATTTGAATTAATCGTTTTCCTTATTACTTTGCTAGGAAGTACCGACTCATATCGTTTCAAATCGTTTTTATATTGGAAGCATTTGTAAGTAATCCTTGAGACACACACGAAATTTCATTATATTTTAACGTTTCGTTATGATTCATAGAGATTCGATAGATTAGAACGCTTACCTTATATTCAATGAAATCTTTTATTACGTTATTTGGTAAAATACAATAATGATTTGTTGTAAAATTGACTTCTTACTGTTACAGAAATATTCTAACATTTAAATTCGTTATATTAGATTTTATATGATATATATATTTTAATATTTATATGTAATAATATTCTATACTCTAGATATTTTTAAGTACTTAAACGATTGGTTAACTTACTTAATAACTGAGTCTACTGCATAGTTTAAAGTGATTAGTTTATTGTGATATGCCGATTACCGGTTTGTGTTTACAAAGCGTCGCTAAGCGGCTATTGTATTATCATAAACATTCTTCGCGGTGCGCGACGTGACAGCTATTATTTGTGTGTCCTTTAAAAGACGTTCAGAATTTAAGATAACATTCTAAGGATATTGCTTATCGTCTCGAGATTGTATTAGTAGCTTTCTTTAGTTTCAGTTCATTGTTATTTTTGTGATGTTGAATATTTGTTGAGCTTTTCCCTTCTTATCCTTCATAGAATTAAGATTGTATTCAGGCCTTTTTTAACGTCCCACTGCTGTGCAAGGGTTTCCCTTCAATACGGTCATACGATCAGGTCATAGTCCACCACACCAGCCAAGTGCGGGTTGGCGAATTTCACATGTCTTTCGAAAATTTGCTGGGTTCTTTCACACATGCAGGTTTCCTCATGATATTTCCTTCACCGTAAGGCTAGTGCTAATCATGTTAGAAATCATTTGCACATGATAATATCAGACATGCGAGACCCAGGATTTGAACCCGCTTTACTTGATTTCTCAAGCGAGCTCGTTACTACTGGGCTACCACTGCCTTCTCCATCAGGAATTAAAATAATTTTCTTTTATTGGTAGATATATCCATATTGAGGTGTTTTAAGTATCAAATATTATTTATTGTACAAAAATTGGCTAACTATATAAATATATATAAATATACTAATATTATAAATGTGAAAGTGTGTTTGTTTGTTTGTTCGTTCGTTCTTTTGTTCTACTTTCACGTGACACGTCAAAACGCTGTGACGGATTGGCGTGATTTTTTGTGAGGACGTAGTTGGAGAGCTGGAGAAAGACATAGGCTTTTTACCGCGGGAGATTATCTTGCTCCTGCGGGAAAACACGTTATAATATAACCCAAAATATATTTATCATCAGAATTAATTGAAACTTAGTATATTAATACTAAGAAGAGCATTAGCTCTTCAATACAATTAAAAAAATACGTATTTTAGCATTTTTCGAAATTCATCCCATAAGGGGGTAAAATAGGGGATGAAAATTTGTATGAAATCTACCTTTTTAGAGTTTTTTTCGTAGTTTTAGCGCGAGCGAAGCCGCGGGTTTCGCTAGTATTTATATAAGAGGATTAATTTGAACCCCTAGATTTTTCTTTATATTTGCATGTAACGTCTCGTGTGTTTTATATTCTGTATTTTATTTTTATTTTTAATATTCTAAACTAATAATTTTCTATATAAAGTGTTATAAAGAATTATCGACATTTGTTTTTTTAATATTTTAAACAATACGTTTTCAAATTATAAAAATATATGTTTGTGACAGGTAAGCCCCTCTATTTGATTTCTTAATTTGCACCTCAAACTTATTCGCAAAAATGTTTTATACTGTACAAATACAACTTGCTTTAATTTTCTCAGACGTTAGTTTTTGGCAAAATTTACTATGTCAATGAACTCATCCTACGCGCGGCGACTAATCTCCTAAGACTTATTAAAATAAGAGTGATCGCTCTAAAGTTTATCTGATAATGTGATTGAATATAAAAATATATTCTCTCTTCAATTTTAAAAATTGTATAAATTGTATCCTCTTAAGCTCAGCTCAGCATTTTAAATGGCATATATAAAATGAAAATTTTATTACGACATATAAATAACTACATATCTTCATTTTGTACTCTGCTGTTAAATTAAACAAACAGATAGAAAGTCTTGAAAATTCGAGCTCGTATTTCAGTTGCATTTCAAGGATATATCGACATGTAAAAGAAAACTAACACACTTGTTCTTATTTTTGAAACGTATGTATCTAAATAATCAACGACCTAAATATTTTTTCAGGCATAAACTCGAATGCATTTAGCATTTGCGCCTGCTAGCCAAATATTTGGAGCTGTTTTTATTTATCATGAAATTGAATTAACTATTTGCATGGCGTAATGAACGTTTGAAGTACCGTGTTTTGCTTAAAACTATTTAAATTTTTACTTACTAGCGAACTGGCGTCACTTCTCTTAGGTTTTAAAGTTTCCAATACTTGTTTATATGTCATTCATACTAGTCGGTCTCCTTTCAGTGAACATACAGTGTTTACCTACGTCTGGATATTTTAGGACTCAGTACCTTGACGCTATACTATTTATGTTCAAATATCTTCTTCACAGTGAGCCTTAGGTACGAAGCTTAGTGTAAACTACATAAGTCTAGATTTATTAGACAAAATCGCATCAGATTGCTTACTTAAGTAACTAAAATTATTTATAACACATACCATATCTAAGCAACTGCTTACGAAGGAAATTTATTATTTGTAATATGAAAATGTTTGTTAACGTACTAACATCATCTGTTTCGTTGCATTGAACTTTGACATATTGCTCTAGAGCCACCACGCAGACGGCACACTGCGACGGGTGCAATGACTTTACGTGTCTGCACACTAAAGAATTTTAGAAAAAATAAAAGAATTATTATACGTATTAAAAATAAAATTATAATAGTTCTATTATGACTGTTTCAATACAGATGTGATAGAGCTAAAGAAACGTACGCAGTTATTATACGATGTGAATGACTACAAATAAAGAATGTCAGTCTATAAAATTAAAGAAATTATTACATCTTTTAAAAATGAAATTATGACATTTATGTAGTTTTATTTTATTTCTATTGTTTTTATAGTAGTTTACCAGTTTTCTGTTTAAAGTGGCGACTCGACTCGGTTTTTTTCTTTAATATATTGTAATCCTAACAATATTCCCTCTTATATTATTATTTATTTTATTTTCGAGTACAGTTATTCAAAATATAAGACTTATCTAGTGTGCGGTACGCCTTAGCAGTTTTGTTTCAGTCTTGACATTAAAGCGGCTTGTTCTGTCTGCCGCGGATTTATTTAAGATGCCTAAAGGCACGTCACTTACTAAGTGACGTTTCGCGAATTATTGGATACCGAGTAAAATATGAAAGTGCTGAAATCATAAAATAGAATACATTATGATTCTTGAACCTCCCGATAAATCTTTTATTTATTTAATTTGCGTTTAAGGCTATTCTTTTACTTTTTATTATTATTTACAATATTAATTTTGTTCGTATAATATTGATTAAAATATTATATAGACACATAACGTTGGTACATTTGATCAATTAGCTTTAAAAGTGACACAAATTTGAATATTTTTAAATATTCGGCATGCAAATCGATCATAATATTTAACTGCGTAGTAGTCATATTTTGGTTTAAAATAAAATTCAAATTTCATGTCAGCATCATGTTAAAGAATTTTTGATGTGTTGGTACCAGTATCAAAATACAACCCATAACCCATGCGAGGGACAGGTGCTGAAGCCTGAAGGATGATAAGGGTCGAGCTCCCGTCTCATTGGACTAATTACTTATCGCATCCGTAGTTAGGCATATACAAATATATTGTGTTAGGAGTCTCTATTACATACTACAGGCACTGTAACGAGATAAACATTTTACCCAAGTCAATATTATAAATTTTATAACATTTAGTATCATAGTTTATTTTACCAAATTAATATAAAATATTAAGTATTATACTTAATGAATATAAGAGTATATTCAAACAAATCGCTGTGAAAAATAATGAAACGATGAGTCGGCTACTTAGCGTATGTGAGTTTGCTAGACAATATTTAGTTTTTAAAGTAATATTTTTCAATAAAAATGAGAGCACTGTAATGTGGTCACGCACGCAATCGTTTTCATATTGCAGATTGAAATTGGGTCTGTACAAACGCCCACTCGTCTGCGTTTCATCATTCACTTTAACTGTCACATAACCTCTTGTGTAAACATAGTAATCGGTCAATAATATTTACATAAGTAACAATGGATTACGGACGCTTGATAAATGGAATGAGATGGAGTGCTCACGCCTTTGCTTCTTCGGACTTAAATACGCCGTCAGTGTCGATCGAAGACGTTTGCGGCAGTGACGAACAAAGTTCAGTGACTAACAACTATCTAATAACTTATCCGGATGACGATAGCGATTCTTCTTCATTCAACAAAGAGTCTCGTGGGGAGAGTTTAAACGAACCCTCGAAGCTTAATCGCTACGTAAACCCGCTTTTCTCCGAAGAAGTTTTAAAAGGAGAGATAACAGACGACGGGGACGTTGAAGAACTAATGAAGAATGAAGCAAAAAAGTTGGAAGATTATAAGTTTTGCGAGGCAGTTAACGACTTCGACATTGAGTTGGAGTCGGGGGAGGCGGTGCCCATAGTTTACTTATCCACATCTCGCGCTGCGAAACTGCAACGCGCGCTTCGTCTGTCCGGACTCAAAAAGGTCAGGATAATATTGCATATTGTTTTTAATATTTATTTCACATAAAAATACAATTTCATAAACGTTAATTATTATTGTCGGAGCTGTTTCGTCATTCGTATTTTTTCTCACCGTTACATTTCTCGGTCTTCGTTAGCCTCTCTATATTGAAGCTTAGAAAGAAATTTCATTTACGAGATGAACTTAATATTTTTTGCACGACTTATTTTAATAATAAAATTCAGGTAAAACCTACGTATTTTTATGTGAAGCCGAAGCTACTCAGGCGGTTTATTGTCTTTTCTTGAACTTCAGATAATAAATAAGAGAAGTCTTTATATTTGAAATAATATAATTATTTCAATAAGTATTTTCAGTAACATTTCGAAATAAAAGTAATATGTAACCAAATACATCCATATTTTAAATATTCGTTTCATCGACGAAGTTGCGGCTTCATTGTTAGAACACTTCTGTGTCGCGACCTACAAAGCAAATGACAGTTGGAACTGATATTTCCCTAAGAAACTAGAGTATCGGGAACATCACCATTTCTATTTTAAAAGATATTTAATGTGGAATTTTTACTCAAGGTATCAAGAGTTTAAAATAAATTATATAACAGCAATTATAATATATTATATAGTTTTATTTTATTTCTCTATGTGTTTGTTTTATCTGAAAACATTATTTTGAAATAGAAAAAAAAATACATTTTTTTTTATAATAAATACACTTTACATTCATTACATTTTTAAATTTGTTGCTATCATTTTTACTACAATATTAAAACTTATATTTCGTAACTTATAATAAAGTATAGTATTAAAAAAGCTTTAAAATCATACATAATATTTTTGTTAAAATCTAGATGATTCAATTCTCATTATAGTCCGCTACTTATATCGGTGAAATGACAGCGACTTCCTGTAACCTGAATGAGACTGTAAGACAAAGATAGTTTTGCACCTATTATATACTTTATATTAAAGCAATAGATACTATTTTGTTCTATTTCAACAGTTTGATGTAATATGTATGGATGTGGAGTAGGTGCTTGGCACATCTGTCGCATACACCGTGTATATACAACGGCTTATATTGCGAATATTAAATCCTGTTTTAATTAGAATTCTTTTCTGATGATAATATTTTTATTTATTTAAAATTATTCTATAACAAATATTTATTCTAAAATAAATAATAATTATTATAGTAGGTGAGAAGTAATTTTGTCAGGTGAATTTTTATGTAAAATTTTGTTAAATAGATATATATACATATTATGTAGTTCTACTTTGCAGACACTTAAAATAAATCGTGTTACTGCAACGCAAATAACGCGTAGACGGAAGGGACTAAAATAGTAAGCTGAGTAGGCAGTAGCCCTTCTCCACACTGTCTAATTTCAACTTTGGTTATATAAAGCAATAATATTTGTTATATAAACAAATAATACTGTTCTTATGAGCAATATACTTGTGTAATTCGCATTTTACTTTTATGTTTGTTTCTTGCGCGTTACTTTATTTATTCATAGATTTTAATAGATTGTTATAAATCTCTTTTAATTTTATCTCTGGGTACAGTCGATGTATTTATTTAAAAAGATGTATTATGACTTAGTGTAAACCAACTTTTCTAGTAATTCAAATCTTCAAAGGATCATTGACAAAAGGCATATGATTCGAACATACTTGCTTCTAATTGTTTGAACTCAATTTGAATATACAAATACCCACCATATTCCAATTTTATAAGCTTATAGTTACAGGCTTGTAATTATTACTTAACTAATTAAATTGTTAATACATATTGATAAAAAATATACCTATTAGCAATGTTCTCTAATTTTGCTAGTTTACTGGTTTTTTGAAAGTCACTTCTATTATTCTTCGTGTAAGAATTGGTTCACAGTTAATAAAGGTATATATTATAAAAAACATACAACCATAATGACATTCATTATTTTCAAGGTGAATATTATTGTCTATTTAATGCAAACTTTTAAATATCGCAATATTAAGTTTCGTTCCTAAACGAATATTAAACAAACCTTAGATAACACAAAAAAATCTACAATTTCGAAAAGAATGCATAGTGATTTTTACCTCTTCCATCAAATCAATAATTATATCTTAACAACAGTTTCTAGAGACAAAGAGTCCGTCAAACAAAAGAAAATTATTTGTTTTCCGTTAATAGTAGTTACAAGTTTTTAAAAATATTTTCACTGCAATCTTTTATAACCAAACTAGTGACTTATCCGCGTTTATATTGGGTGCGTCGTTAATTCGTCGTCTTATACATTTATAATATTACTAGCATACCCCGCGGCTTCGCTCGCACTAAAACTACAAAAAAAAACTCTACAATGGTAGGTTTTATACAAACTTTATCTTATGGAATGAATTTCGAAAAATGTTAAAACTCGTATTTAATTAATTGTATTGAAGAGCATTTATACCAAGTTTCAAATAATTCTAATCATATTTTTTTTTAGATTTTATTATTACGTGTTTTCCCGTGGAAAAGAGATGATCTCCCGCGGTAAAAAGTAGCCTATGTCACACTCCAGCTCTCCAACTATCTCCACAAAAAAAATCACGACAATACGTCAAGCCGTTTCTACGTGAAAGAAAGACAAACAAACAAACACACTTTCACATTTATAATATTAAAAAGTATGGATATACGAGTACGTAGGCAAATTTTAAAGATAGGAAAAGCGCCGATGTATTTATTTGTTACTTTCTTAGATTTACGTGAATATTTCACATTTTAAACAAAACTATCTTTGCGGACCATTTCGCGGATTTATTTTGATTTTTGGTTCCCCTTTTGGTTTTTGGGAATCAAAAATCAAAATAAAAATTATATTTTTTAAATACCTATTTACTAAGTTTAAGTAAAATCATTAATTTAATAAATATGACTAGAGAAGTAGGTACACGAAAGAGCAGTTAACGTTTACTTGATACGAGTAATGTTCTTAGAAATGCATTGAAGTTCTAAAAAACGTATTTCTTCGACACTTTCATCCCACTTCGCACTTCACTTGTACATTCAACAAGTGGAAACGTGACTAGAAGATATTACTTTTATGAGAACGCCAGTGCTCATCGGGATTTTTATATTTAAAAAAGCAACACGTTCATTTTTCCATGTTAATAAATATTACATATAACTGTATACGCATAGCTCGCTTTATTTTAGCCAGCACGACGTATATATATATATGTATGTTCAATTCATCTCATGTCAGCACTAACGATATTCAGTGTAATGCTGTGCCAGTTAGATATAAAGGCGGTTCTACACGGATCAATTTGTGCCGCACGACTATGCCGCCCAGTGAAAATCGACCATGTAAATATAGGTAATATCGATTAAAGCGAATAAGTGATCTTTTAAACGATTTCGTTACAATTGGTTAGCCGCACAGTTAAAATCGATCTATGTAAATACGCATCAACGTCGCGATTGTTGACTTTATATAACAAAGAAATGAACATTTTTCATATTGATCATTAAAGTATAAAAGACATCTTTTATCTTCTTTTAATAAAACCGATACTATGTAAAAATTTTCCTTATATATTGTAGCACAAAGAACTCGATTTTTAGTGCAATCAAGGTTTTATTATTTGTACCAATTCTGCTTTCCAAATAAACTGTACAGAAAATCCGATTGTTATCTAGTGAACAAGTTTATTCTGTAGGTTTCGTAATTGATAAAGGTTCTCTTTACATAATAAGCAACGTTTTATTGAATTTACAATGAATATTACATGAAAATATCAAGAGTATGAGACCTGAGATTTGAACTCACTTCACTTGGTTTCTAAAGCATTATTACTGGGCTACTATTATCTTAAATTACTATTTAACACACGATTTATCAATCATAGTGAAACCTTGGGACGTTGAGATCTCGTAGGAAAACTGAGAGAAATGTGCTAAATTGTGATAGATTGCACCAGAGTAAACTTTGATACCTGATTAAGTGTCCTTATGATCATTTAAAATTTAAATTTTATAATAATCTATAGGTACTAGGTATAATAAAGCAGTAACTTAGCGAAATTGTAAATGAAATATTTCTTGAAAACAATGACTGTAACGTGTTATATACACAATATAGACCTCAAAAGTCAAAACACTAGTGTTGAATAAAACATTTGATAAAATTATTTTTTGTATAAAGCATAAACTAAATTCTATAAAATATAACTACCTAATACCTAAATATATAACGAGAAATGGTACATACAATAGATTCTAGGTCCTCTTTGTACAATATAATTTCTAAATTAAATCAGATTTCAATTCTTAATTGCTTGAAGGGAATGTTAGTAAAGACATTTTTCACTGACGAAAAATTCTAACGATTCAATAAGTTCTTACAAAGATTGAATGTTGTGCCCATTATACGGATTTAGAATTCAAGAGTTTCTAAAACAATCGTTAATTATTATTGTAAGTACAATACTTAGTATATAATTTTTGGTGTATATATAACGGTTAGAGTAAGTGATAATATTATTAGAAACATAATATTTAAGTAATATTATGATATCGTTATTAGTTGTAGACACTTATCTTAGTTATTAAATTTGAAGAAAATTTACATTAACTATATATTTTTTTTAATAACATTTTAGATTTATTATAGACTGAAATTTACTCGGATGGTTCTGAAAGCCCTAAAAAAGTACAATTCTATTCAATTTACGTATTTTTAGCAAATATTAATTGTTGTACTACGTAAATCGTAGTATATTTTGTGGATGTAAAGTGATGCATTCGCCTCAAGGGATCTGTTTGCATCGGAAGCTGCCAAGCCTGAAATGAGTTTACTCCTAACCCTAGTGTCTAACTACGATAATAATTTGTTTTAGGAATAAATCTTTATATGGTGAATTTTTAAATTTTTTCTCGTTAGCATAAGCCGTCGATATTTCTATTTCACTAGAGACGTGTAAAACTTTTCTTTATGTGGTTTAGTACTTATGTCATACGTAATTAACAGCTTGGATATTTTAGTACCAAAATATTTCTAA